AAAAAAATAAAAGTGCTTGGTGCTTGGTGGCGGCTTTATGAGAAATAAAACAGGCTGTGATAAGGAAACTCGTCTTACTGGTCATATAAAGACACAATATAACTATCTAAGTTTGACAGACTTCTACTATAACTACCTGCTGCATCGGCAACAGTTGCTCCAACGATGGCTCCTATCGCTCTGTCGGCCAGAGCTGCAGCCATCTGTAAAAACATCAACAGTATTACTGTAATTCAGGAGAATGAGTTATTATTTTAAAATGAATAGGTATTAATGTAATGAGTGATACACCAAACGCGCTTGTTCCAGCTTCGACAATATGAGGATTGGCTGCCTTTCTCTCTTTTACAACAACTGGAGATGAATATATTTCTGTTTTGGACTACACAACACATTAGCAGAAGTTACATTGAGCTCCAGGAAATAGTGACAGGTATTTGTCATTATTTTAAGACAGTTTACAGAATAAACAAACCTCTGATTAATCTATAGAATAATCAATAGATTCATCAGTAATAAAAACTATTGTTAGTTCCAGACAGCTTGTAATTGTTACAGGATATTTCTGCAATACTGCCACACAGGTGTGACCCACTTCCTCATTAGTTGATCTTTAATGACCTGCAGGTTTGATTTATCTGCACTCGACTATGTGTCCTATATTGTGACAGGCTGTGTACAGGTTGAATACAGGTTGAATACAGTGTTTAACAGACTTTAGCTCGGTGTGAGGTATATTTCAGCAGTAACTACAGTCATGACTTGAATGAGGCATTGGTAATATTGTTCTGTTTAACTAAAACAATGACCTGGGCGGGTTAGCGGTTGCGGAAATAGCAGTAAGTTACCGTCACTTTAAACAATGTAGCCTGCTAGCTGACATAAGCTAACATAAGTCAGTTATGAGGTACCGTTACAAACACTGACAACTCAACCTCTGTTTTATGTACAAACTATTACTGAGACCTACCTCGTATTGTTCGTTTCAACACTCGACACCTCCCGTAGGTGAACTCTTTTAATTGTACAATATGTTATGAAACACATTAGGTCTTTAGCACCGCCCACAGGGACGCAACGATTAACCCCGCCCACCTTGATCACCCTTTGACCAGCCTGTGAAGACTTTATGGACCATGGATATTTATTACGATGAAATAAATGTGTGGACCTTTGATGTAACATTGTGACATGCATGAATTTCAAGATAATAAAATAAAATGAATAGAATAAGTGATGTGGTCCTTTTCACAGGCTACACATATAAAATACCCCACATAATCACAAAATGACTTATAAAAACTTGCTAGTCTTTAAAGCTTAACAGTGTAAAGCATCAACCCTTATTATTAAATTTTCATTAGTCTAATTAAAATGTTAGTATGTCAGTGTCAATAGTTTGCAGCATCTGAGCTGATTGTAACACCACAAACAGTTCTAAGACTCGGAGCAGCTTGTTTAGGCTTTCAGTCCCAGTTTAGAGTTAAGTAGAGAGCGCCATCTACTGACCAGCAGAGGTAACTGCTGCAGACAGAAGTGACCGGAAATGACAGTTCCCTCTTTTATGGACAAACCATTACATCGAGCCCCTGCACTAACTAAATTGTGTAGATTAATATAAGAAAAGAACAACATCAATGTTATTTTAGTATATATGTATAGATATGGTATAGTGTGACAGAACCATTTAGATTTCTGAGGAACACATTTGTTACATTATATTGGACTAAATAGGGTTCACAGAGTTTGTTCTCTACACCAAAGGTCATATCCACAGTGAAGGACAAAACCAAAAAAAACATCAAAGTAAAAACCCATGCAGTGTTAACACTGATAAAGACGTGGCCAAACGGGTGACACGCTGGAAAGTTTCAGCCGAGCAGAGTAGATTTACAATTAAAGGACAGAGAGAGATATGTATTTGATATAAAAGCTAATATTACAAGCTTTAGTTGGTTTGTGTATATTTAAAAGTGTCTGTCAACACATTTTATGACTGAAACAATTTTTCAAAAATTCCTGTCATGTAAGATATAGAAACAGAAGATGGTTAACCACAGATTTGAGAGAATTTTGTCTTAAGGAATCCCCTCTGAGTATTTCATTTATTTTTGGTTTCAAAAGTCTTCAAAGTTAGTTAATGATCAAACTGAGATCACTATATATTACAGTCAATAAAAACAACCAGTCCACTTGCTCCGTCTTCCAAAAACTGTGATTAAAGTAGCCGCATTACAGCCCTTCTACCATGCACTCATACAGTTAGTGCATCTTTCAACCAGTCCCTTCAGATCTGCTTCACTCTGCACATCCTGCCTTAGAAAAGAGGGGCGTGTCGCGTATGTGTGTGTCGTGGGGGGTCAAAAGGCGTATTACAATACCATCTAGACTGTATGTATTTATAGCTTACCTCCTCCCTTTCAATTTGTAAAGTAATATCCCATGCGATCATCTCAAGCATACATGCACACATTGCAGGGGGACACACGCGTACTGTATGCACAGATGGATCACACTCAAAAAGATCTGAAAAACTGCCTCATGCCCCCCCCCCCATAAAACTCTATGTTTCATTTTCTTCTTGAGTCAGGGCTAAGTGACACCTATGCTCTGAACCCTCAGCAGGTGCACCACCCTCTCCTCTCCTCTCCTCGCTCTCTCCATGTCCCTGAGTGACCCAGTGCCACATTCTAGCGCTGCGCTCGTGCCAGCAGACGCAAATTAGACACCGGCACCCCCTCCTGATATGTACTTCTCTGTCCTACATCCATTATTTTTAGCTGGGATCCAAGCCTCCATCTACACTTAATAAGGGAAAAGACTTCCTCATATTCACAGCCACCTCTAAATCCATCATATCACTCTTTCTTCATTTGGCTCAAAGCAGACAGGCTCAGCGCACACACACACACACA